TCAGTACATAGAAATTATCTTTATAAATAATATTGGAAACAATTGCCCAACAGATGAAAAAGTAAAATACAAGTTTTATTTAGTATCTCTTATATTAACGGCAGTTCTTTATGAAGGTGCTGTTTTCTCCTTAAAGAAGTATTTAATATAATCTAGAATAGTTCATTCCTTTGTTAATTCACATATAAAAATTTAAAATGAAGTTTAAAAAAAGCAACCTGCAAAAATGAATTATGTTTTTATATTTAATATGTCTTAAATAGGGCATGTTTTTAAAAACCTGGCATATATATTATTAGCTATAATCATTACATTTCTTTTTAAATGTCTTTTTAAACAGGTAAGGCAGAGGCTTTTTAAAAAAAAATCTATAAAACAATCAATAATTTACGGCATGATCCAGAAATTCAAGATGTGCTTGTTGGTAAAGACCTATTAAGTAATTGCATCATATAGGATATGGTTGATAGCACATCTGGATTTACTGCTTGGACAAGTTGTGTGAGACAAACTCCTTAATTAATGAGAGCAGCAAATTCTCCACATGGGAGATTTGGTTTAATCACTCTATTTTTTTGCTATAGAGATGGGGTCTCACTATGCTGCCCAAGCTGGTCTTGAACTTCTAGGTCAAGCAATCCGTCTGCCTCAGCCTCCCAAAGTGCTGGGACTCCAGGCGGGAGCCACAGCACCTGGCCTGTTTTAATCAACCATATGTAAAGTATGCTTTTTATCATAGTACCTAAGAAATAAAGAAAGGATAAGTACTTAAATTTTTCTGGTGCATTCCAGGACCCAATAACTAATAGCACGGCTACAGTTCACTGAAGCCAAAATAGGATTTATAGAAAGCACCAGCACAACCCATACTAACTTCACATATGCGGCAGAGAATATCGAGAAAGAATACCAAATGAAGTAGATAAAAACTAGGACCATAAACTAAGGAAGGGAATGCTTCAAAATGAAGGGAGTGGTCACCAGTATCAAAAGCTGCTCGAAGATCAGGTAAGATGAGGACTGAAAAATGTCCACTAGACTTATTCATACAAAGTCATTGGTAAAAAGAACCATTTTTGTTCTCCCTCTGACACACTGCAGAGTCTGAAAGCAGATTACAATTGGTTGAGAAAAAAAAATGGTTCAGCACAGATGGAAAAATTACAAAAGGAAGAATCAGGCCAAAACCTAAATTAAAAAAAAAAAGGTAGAAAAATACACTCATGAAATATTAATATTTTGAACTAGACAATTCAAAGACGTTATAGTTCCTAACAATTTTTCAACTGTTTTGGCATAAAGCCAATCTTAATACTATTAGGGTCTTTTCACTTGAAAGCTAAATTACATTTCTGCATGTTGTTTCCCTAGAACTTCACAACCAAGGGAACCCTTTATGCTGACTTTATCATTTCACAGATAAGATCCTCAGGTAACAATAGGCTAGCAATTATTTGGGGCACAAATGCTAATTAGTGGTAGAACTAGGAAACAAGCAACTCTCCCACTGAGGTAGCAATGCAATCATTTCCTCTACCCAAACCCCTTTCCTCTGCGAACATGCCTACCCAATGCCCCAAAATGGACTGACTTACAGCAATGTTCCCTCCAACCATATCAAATTAGATTGCAGTGGACATCTGACCCAAGTCTAGCCAAATTTTCTCTCTACATTGTGGCAGAAAACTGAGTGAGATGATAGACGTTAGAAAGGTGTATGGTAACATAGACTCAAAAACTGGTGTGGCCTCTTTTAGATCTCAACAAGAAAAGGAGTACATTTACAGAGAGAAGCAGGGGAAGAGACATGTCTTATTAGACATACAAAAAGAATACAATGGAATCTCAAAATTAAATGGTATTTTTTCTTTCCTTTATAGTTTGCAAAGTGAATAGTTATTAAAATGAGAGGAAAAGACTGAAATAAAACATTATTCACTTCATGAAAGGGAGAAAAAAACCGTATTTAAACAGTGAGCACTTATACTCAATGAGCACAGTGAATATATATATGAATAGGAAGAATTGATCGGTGGATCTCAGTTTCCATGTGCCACCTGCAGTACTGAGTGTGGGGGTTTAAAGTTTAAAGATACAGTATATAGTTTTCATTTACCATGGTCCAGAATGAAAGCCAATTATTTTATGTAATTGTCAACCAAAAACAAACAAATCACCCAATGCCTTAAGGTATTTTATAAGAAACTAAATTATTTTTAAAAATAAGTGAAACTTATGCAAATTTTTAAAACTTTTTATTTTACATACTCATTTTACAGATGAACCTATGTAAATTTTAATGTCTGTTGTTCTAAGAATCTAACCTCCACTTAAGGTGCAGCTCCTCTGCAAATGCCTGACAACTTTCTAGCTCACACTGGCCACGTAAAGTTCCCATAATGACATTCCAAGAAACTCTTAGGAGCTTTCTAATGCCCTCTCCATTTCCGTTGAGCAAATCTGAGCAGACTTCTGTTCCTTACACTCAGATGTTACTTAAGTGATGCTCCTAATCTATTGATTTTTTTTTTATGACTTGTACAGAATAGTGAAGACAGTAAAGGCACTGTGGTTAGGAGTATTAGAATCGGACAGATCTCTTTTGGAATCAAGTTTCTACTACTTAGTAGTTCTGTAACTTTGGAGAACACATTTAACCTCTGTGAATTTCATTTGCCATATTTGTAAAATGGAGGTAATGCTATTTACCTCATAATCTATTCTGAAAATTAAATGACATTACGTACTTAGTACTGTGCTTAGAATATACTGGTATAATTACCAATAGTAATTATCAGACTAAGTTCCTGTTGAACTCAATCTGTTTAATAGCTTTCACTTATTTCCCATTGCTCTTATGTTTCCTATTTTTGTAAAATTTTATAAAGTTTATGGAAGTGAACAAATTTATTAACAAAGTAAGACTGTATGAACCATGGAATGATTTTCTATCTTTTCTAGACTCACAAAGTTAATTTAGTATTCCCATATCAGTACTGGGGCCAGACGACAACATTTTCAATGGTACCATATTAACCCGAAAGTGTTATATGTGTCTCTCACCCCCTAAGGTACTTTTCCTTTTAAAATCTATTTTAAATAGTGGGTAAATCTTATTGTCATTTAAGACAAAAGAGTTGTAAAGTTTAATAATTCATACTCATGAAAATAACTTGCACAGATTTTAAGGTAACTATATTACATCTAATAGGTAACTGCTGCTTCCACGAATTTTCATTTCATAGATGAGATATATATCTCTCAAATGTTTATGTATATATATATACACACACATGAACATATACATATATATGTGTATTATCTATAAATAAGCATACGCATGCATATGTAACGCATGTATATACACATACATACATATATACACACACACCATCAAATAAAGGTTTGTGTCTCTGTACTAATCTCTAGTACCATCTCCCAAAACTCTATGAAGAGTATTCTATATAGATTTCTACCTTTTGAGAGCTGGAACTCTTAAATCATTTAGCAAATGTATATAAAACTCGTAACATTTATGAGTTTTATGAAATTCAATGATTCATAAAATTTCAGTTTATATTAAATTTTCAAAGCCTTTTCCTATATTGCCTTTTGTGAAAACTATTAGAAGAAAAACTGGTACTTTAAAACTTTCATATCTGCCTTTTGGTAATGAAATATTACCAGACTGACTGCTGGTAATATTTTACATTCGTATAGCATTAACAGCTTTTAAACTATTCTTACAGATGTTTCACTTAATTCTCACAACCACATGAATTAAATATGGCAACTTTTATTCTCACTTCATAGAAATGAAATTCAATGTCATTTAAGTAACTACATATGAAAACTAGGACCTAAGTTTTCTGCCTTTTAATTGAAACCCTTTCCACTTCTTCACATTGCCTCTAACATGGATCATTTACAATATTGTACAATTGGGATCTGAGTCATAGCTATGGTCATATGGAAAGATAAGAACATTAAAACATGGCAAAGTAGGCTAAACAGGAAAAGTATGTTATATTTTGTAGTTAAGAAGGGGTTTTAGTGCATAAATAATTTTTTGAGAATTTAATAATCAAAGAGAATGTCTGAGAGATTATGATGAAATGGAGACACAGGCACTTAGTTGCAAATTATCTGTGGTGTGGGTGTAGCACTTTTTTCTTGTCTTAAACTTCTCTTTGAGTCACAGTGGCAAATTATAACTTCTTTTAGAGAGGAAGAATCCTGCTGCAATTATGCCCTCGGGAAATGGTTTCACAATCCTTACCATATTTTATAAATAAATAAAGTTACAACAGAAAGATTCCCTTTAGATAGAAATAATAATTTCTAAGACAGAGCAACTCAGATTTTCTAAAAACAAATAGAAACTTCAGCTACATGGCTAAACACACATCTTTATTCACATACAGGATCTGAAAAAGGTCTCTTATTTTGGTAAAAAGAAAAAAGAGATTAAACAGTAATGATACCCTTTCAAATAAAAAGCGAGGTGAACAACAGGAAAGGTGGGTGTGGGAGTGAAGGCTGTGCACAGTGGGCTCAGGCAGGGTTTAAATGAATAACATTTCCCCAAGTTCAGTTTACAAGAGATAAAACAGAGAATCCTGATCAGGCCAGATGAAATCAGACTTCCAGGGATTCTTCCCAAAATCAGAGTTGATAAAACACATCTTTTCCCCTAAAGCTTTTCCCCTTAAAGAAAAAAAATAATTTGCTATTATGACTCAAACAGAAGAACTAAGGTAAGAAAGAAATGCCCTAATCTCCCCAAATCTACACACATACATACGCATGAACATTATTCTTGAAACAATGTGGCAAAGCCATTACCTTCCTGTTCTATATTACCCAAAGGTCTATAATATTTGATGTCGGAATTTAAAATAAGGTATAATATGCTCTATTTTCATGAACTAGTTTAATTAGTTCATTTTTCACTCATTTCCTGTGACAATCTCTTGTATTATATAAGCCTTAATATTTACCTGAACCTCTGAATTGGAGTCAACAGGCTGTAACGAAAACCAGGTTTCTTTGCCACTGTGATTACACAGGTCTTCTTTTTTGATGGCTACTTTTCCTAAAGAAAATAAGTAAAACAATATAAGAAAACATGCTTTGTATAATCCTAAGACTCATTAGCACTGTTTTATATAATACTTTATAGAAAATATTTTAAAATAATTTGTACCTATGGACATAAAAATCCATTTTTATAAAGCCTTTTTCTATATTCTAAAGAATGAAAAAATGTCTTATTTCTCCTTGTCCCTTGGCAGACCTCTGTCTGGGTCATTTTGAATCAGGGGATTAGATAGGACCTCAATTGTATTTACATGCAACTGCATTTTTTAGTGCTTATTCAGATTCACATTTTTACCCAGAGTACACTCATTATAAAAAACAAGGTACAATGGTAGTGCAAACTAATCTTCCCTATTTTTTGACACTATGAACAAATAATATGTTCTAGAGCAGATGTATATGCATTTAGTAAGAGTTTATAAATTCGATTAAGAGGAAAGGAAGAACAATATCCTACATCATTAACAAAAGTGAAAACTGACTTGAAAATTATGGGAGTTTATAACAATTTTATTAAAAATGTACTTTTATCAAAACATTGCAAACACTGATTATGTTGCTCCAACGAATACAAAAATTAAGGCAGTTCTTTAAAGTTTAAACCCCCTCAGGGGAAGATACAGTACAATGAACAAAGTAGTATGAGAGGAAGAAACAGAAATGTTCTTATAATAAAGTATATGCCATCTTGGTAGAAAGCATTTCCTTCCTCAATTCAAGTTTTAAGAAGTAGACACAGTTTTGCATAACACTGACGATTTATTCCAGAGTTCTACATAAAAGTTTCAACAAATTCTTTGTCAAGCAAGAATTTTCATTTTATGTGCCCTAATTCTACTCTATTTCCTTGTACTTATGACATACCTCGGTCTTTTAGTTCAACATTTTAAAACTGTAAGAACATTGCACAGAAATTTTTCTGTCAAGATATGTTAACTTTTGTATATCAAGAAAAAGGAAAGAACAGGAAAACAAACAAAAACTATGCTTAAAATTTTATTCTGGAATTAGATAGTGGTGATGGTTACACAACTCTGTGAATATATTAAGGCCCCCACCACACCATACACTTTTTGTAATTTAAAAAATATTCTAATTCACCCAAGCCATTAGTGCTGGGAAAAAGAAAAAAAGATATATTTTGAAATAATTTCAAACAAAGTTGCAAGAACTACACACCAAAAACCTCCATATTCTCTACTCAGATTCCCCTACTATTAACTTTTATCATGTTTCTCTTCCTCTAATGTATATAATGATTCTTTTTCTGAATCACTGAAAAACAAGTTGCAAATATGATGTATACTTTGAAAGAGTTAATTTGATGGTATATGAATCACATCTCAATAAAACTGTTATTTTTAGAATGTAACCACATTACAGTTTTTGATAAGCTTCTCTCATTCATGTCTTGGAATTCAAACTATGAAGACAACCGATACATCTAATTTTAAAGAAAACACTACAGTACACAGCTATATTTTATTATAGAGTGGTAAATTCTTAAAAAAAAATCAAAGGAGGCCTATTGAAAATTCATCTTTGTATGTCTATTAATACATGAAGTTAAAACACATAAAATAAAATAAATTGGTCCTGATAACAAATATATATCTTCCCAACTTTCTTTCGAATACTTTGGATAAAATGTAAGTTGAAGATCAAAATCTTTATATGAATATATAGCATTTATAGTTCACTCAAATCATGTAGAAAATGGCACTAGGGAAATAATGTATTTCAGTTCTTTTTTGGTTAAATTTAAGATAAAAATGATGGCAAAACAGAAATTCTTATAGTACTAAATAAAGCCAAATATAAAATTCAGGCACTAACTGGAATACTCAAATATTCCTTAAACTACAGGAAGAGTTTAGGATAAGAGACAAATCATACAAATCTCTGGAATGTCTTATCTGTATCAAATTCCTGGGAAATCCATATAATACTAGTTATGGCTTAGGATATAAAGTTATGACAAAGTATTCAATATTGTATGCCACAAATGATTGTTGTAATTCTGTCAGCTAGTCCTGATTATCACTGATTCCACACCAGATGTAAATAAAATGTTAAGGCAATGCATAACGTTTGATACTCAAATATATATATATGTACATGCAGAAATAAATCTATACATCCTATAGCTGAAGCTCTTTCCTTTTGAGAACCATTCCCCTCCCTTTAAGAATATTTGTAACTGTGTATCTTTTATGTCCTCTCCCCAGAAAAAGGCACAGATAATATCTGGCACATAATTTTAAGAGCGTTTACTTACCATCCAGAAATGAATCAGTAGACTTCTGGTGAAATTTCTACTTTATAACTTCCATAATTTTTAGTTTTGTACACAATTTATGAATATGTATATAGATGTACATATGTACACACATATAATACATATATCACTAAAACAAGCCCCAAACTAAAAAACAGGGTTTTTTACAAAGTTTAGGAATATATTGGTTTGACAAATTCATTCCCTCATTCAAGAATCACAATGGCACTGTGTTGTAAATGCTGATTTTATTTCTAGGCTTCCCGTTTATCTAAACTCTGTTTAAGTAACAATGCTCCTAAAAACTAGAGTAGAAATCTACCTGTCCTACTTATGACTCACTAATCTCAGATCACTGGAAATACATCCCCACTGTCACAGGTGCCTTTCCAAAAGAGAATTTTCTCTTAGTCTCACAGGTAATGTATTCTAGAAGAGAGCCTCTTCCTCCTATTCCACGTCGTGAGTATCATGACATTCACTGTCACTGAAGAGTTGAATGTTTCTTGTCCTATGAGAGGGAAACCCTTCTCTGACTAGCTGCATAAATAAGCCATCTGAGAGTTGAGAATAATGTGCAATTTTATTGTCAGCTCTTATTAAGTTCCTTTTTAAGATGTCAGTTTCTGATATATAAAGATCTAGTTGCATGAGTTTATCTGGCCTGAAGAAGCAGGGAAGAAAGAGTACATGATCCCACAAAGTTAGAGAAACTGATATATAAGAAGGGCACAGGAAAATAAGAAAAATATTTGAAGTCATTAGGTGGCAGGCAAAGAATGAAGGAGAAAAAAAGGTGGGAGGATAAATGAGAAGGAAGTATAGGAGAGGGTGACAAAAGGGATGGGGAAGGAAGAAACAAGTTTCTGAAATATGAACAGAATAAAAAAAAAGCCTCATGATTCTGTTTTGTTGTTTTATCACTGAGCAGACATTAACAGTAAAAGGTCGGCAGCCCGATACAGTGGAAACAGCACTGAACTGAAAGAAAAGCCAGCATTTACAGAATGTCTACCAGGTAGGAGACATTCTTATATATTTTCTTGTCTAATTTTCATAACAATCTTGGAGTCAGAGGGTATAATCTCCATCTTACAGATGAGGAAAGGCGAACAATATTTTTAAACTTGCCTCTAACAGGTGCAGAAGCCAGATTTCGAAACCAAGGTATGCCTGTTTGTGTTCCTTCCAACACAAACACTAATTACATAATCTAGTGTCAAATTCTCTAATAAATTACTTATTAGAAACTCTACATCTAATGTGCCTCCTCTGAATTAGAATGACTTTAGCTTAATGATCTTAAAAACCTTTTTTGTGCCTCTAATGTTTCCAAAGATTGTTTTAGTGTTTACTATTTTCTTTTGTTTATTTTTAATTTTTTTTTTTTTTTCCCAGACAGGGTCTTGCTCTGTTTCCCAGGATGGAGTGCAGTAGCATGATTATAACTCACTGCAGCCTCAACCTCCTGGGCTCAGGTGATTCTCCAACTTCAGCCTCTCAAGTAGCTGGAACTAATTTTTATAGTTGGTCCCAGTTGGCTAATTTTTATAGTTTTTATAGAGATGGGTTTTCACCATGTTGCCCAGGCTGGTCTTCAACTTCTGAGCTTAAGCAGTCCACCTGCCTTGGCCCTCCAAGGTGCTGGGATTATAGACATGAGCCACTGTGCCAAGCCGGTGATTACTATTTTAAACAAAGTTAATTCATAATTTCACTAGCTATGAAATTACTAATGTCAAAAAAAAAAAAAAAATCAAACACAGCTGGGTGCAGTGGTGCATGCCTGCTGTTCCAGGTACTTGGGAGGCTGAGGCAGGAGGACTGCTTGATCCCAGGAGTTCAAGTCCAGCCTGGGCAACACAGTGAGATTCCTGTCTCCTAAAAAAAAAAGAAACGAAACAAACTTCCCAACAAATCATTTAAAATCAGTACTTAATTTCCTCACTGTCTTGACAAACTCACAGAAAGAGCTTAAAACCAAACATATACTCACCAGATGCTGTATTAGTTCCTTAAAACCAGACAAAGAAAGGAAATAAAAAAGGAAATGAAGGAACTGTGGGCACAGAAACCACCTTTGTTGATCTTTAAGTAAAAAAAGCATTTTAAGCTTTCTAATATCATTTTTCAGCAGCATTTTCTTGCTATCGGTAAATACCGTGTTACCCATGGGACCCACTTTCAGATACATTATTAGAAATTTCAGTCTGATACAGTTAACCAACTGGCAAAATCCTGATGGTCCTGTTCCTACTTGAGCACAAGCAGAAATGGCTAAAAGAGGAGATTAAAAAGTGACAAGTGTTACTGCCTATGTAAAAATGAAACAGGACCAGAAGACTGAACAAATTCTGGCAGACAGTCAACAGCAGTAATTTAGAGACAATAGCAGCACTTTGAAGCCTTAGTGTATGAGGTTTCAATAGATACATTTTGGTCTTTGTAGTAGACGGTATATTAATAGCCGCCATACTTTCCAGTATCTACACCATTGTGAGATTCCCTATAGCACTGACTCTGGGATTAGATATGTGACTTGCTTTTACGAATGGGACATCAGCAAATGTGACACACATGTGCATTAGGGCTTGCCTTCTTAGAACCAACCATGAGACCATGTGGTGAGGAAGGTCCAGCTAACAGCACCAACCAGACATATGAATCAGACCAGCCAGCCTCAATCTCCCAAATAACTGCACATCAGTCCCAGGCAA